TAAAATAAAGGTATGTGTTCCCTGTGTTTCCCACCTGTCCTGGCCCCCGAGTGCGTCCACAAATAAAGGGGAGTCCGAGTCGACGTCGGTCAGCTTGTATTTTTTCAGTCTGCCCAGTTTTACCGATGGATTAATCTAGGGGGGTTTTTTTAGGATTTTTAAGCCTTCAAAAACGCAATTTCCCGCATTTTGAGAGGCAAATCATGGTGTTGAGAGTGTTTGTCGGTCCTTCTGATGTTTTCATATTTTTCAAATTTTGTATTTTTAAACCTTCAATGACGCATTTTCCTGCACTTTGAAAGGCAAAATTAGGCGTAACGAAGAATTATTCATTAACGCTTAACGCTGAATTTAGGATGACAAATAACGTTTTACGTTGAATTAAAACGACCAATAACGCTTCACGATGAATATACTGATAACGCTTAACGTTGAATTAGAGCGGGTCGGCAACGATTAACGGTAAATTAAAATAGCCCATAACGGTTAACGAAAAAGGGCATGCAGACCCTCATTCATGCCCCTTCCTCCCCATAACCTTTGTTGATAAGGTCAGATTTAAATGGTGAACGAAGATTTCTTGCTTTCATCCTTGATGCGGATTTCTCAAAAGCGCTGTCATTTATTGTATTAACAAAAATTCCTGTAGCTTTGATGAATGAAACGGGTTTTCTCAATCCATCATGATAACAGGTGGCATACACATAACATTGTGGACGTTAATGTAGACCATAGCCCCGCCCACCTCCGTCAAGACGTAGAACTTCAAAATGAAACCATAAAAATGCAAATATTTGCGTTTGACAGAATCATGAGGTGTTAACTTTTGTTATTCACAATATTATCAAATTGTCAAAGATGTCACATTCCCATAATCGATTACTTACAACAAATCAATGGTGCAAAAGCATTATGGACCTCTCTCGCCACCTCCATCAAAAGTTCAAAACATAGAAATGCAAGTACAATGTATTTGATGGACATGGAGGGCCGAGGCTCTCCATTGGTCGAGCTGATAATTACCATTCTCTCTTTGGTTGAACTACTAGTACTAATTGCCATCCTCTCATTGGCTGAACTGCTAATTGTGATGGACATTCAGGGTGGATAATTCTTTCACTTCTTTCCCAGGCCTGGTGACCACCACTGATATGGATTTCATGTGCCACAAGAACAACGCTCGCTTCACTCGGAAGTGTGACTTCGGCAGGTTCCAGTTGTACGAGTCGACAGGACTCTGGGATAACGTAGTGAAGCTGGGAGGCTCCATGGTACTGGGAGCCTCTACCATCCGCTTCCGCAGGTCACTACAGTTCCTGGAGCCTTTCCGAGTCAGATCTAAGGCAAGAATTGTGAACATTGTCAATTTGTCATGTATAACTTTGCAGAAGGAAAACATATTGTTTTTGCCACATGTTTGCTCTTTCTTAATCTTCTTCATTCTTTAAACACATGAGGTCAATGACCTGGCCCAGATGTCTGTTGCCATGGTAACTGATTAGGCTCCACCAGACTCCTTTGCTAGCTGAATACTTAGTAAGTACAAAATGTAGTAGAAACCGGCCTAAAAGAATTTGGAGTTAGCCATATAGAAGGACCAGATTGTGTGCAGGAAAATTCTGTACAAATCCAGTCTTTGTCAAGGAATCAGCAATCCACCACGTCTGTGACATCATGTTATGCAGATGACAAAGACGGGTTGGTCCACTGCTCACGGAGTCACGTTTCCTCTGGGTAATGTATGTCACAGAAGTGGCAGATTGCTTATTCCTTGACAAACATGGGAGTTGTATAGTGTAATTTCTTGTGTTGGAAGTTGAACAATATTGTCTTTTCCACAGATTTTATGCTGGGACGACAAGTCTTTCTATGTGGAGCAGCGACTGGAGTCTCTGAGGGATAACTTCATCTGTGCAATAGTGTACTGTAAGCAGGCCGTGCTCCGTACCAGTCCTGCCAGGGTGGTGGACGCCACGCGTGGGGAGCCCATGGACAGCCCAGAGTTCCCCCCAGAGATCACCTCGTGGATCGAAATGAACAGCATCTCCAGCGAGAACCTTCGCAAGAGTCTATGACATGCCACGTGGGTTAGACGGAGTATACCATGAGATTGAAACCAGCTGTAGTCCATATATTTGCCATCAGGTCTCCCTCTTATGTACTTACACTGGTAGTACTAGTAGCTAAACTGAAGAAGCTTCTGTTTTTTGCCCATCTTTATTACATATCATTTAGTATTTTTGGATGGTGTCTGCAACTCTGTAACTTGCCAATTACAGAGTTCCTCTAACTCTGACTACGTTGTATTTGGTACCTCAGGGGCTTTATTTGTGTGACTCAGTGCAGGAGGTTCAAGTGTTAAGATACTAGTACTCTATGTAGGGTTGTTGGACCAGCTTAAGCAAAGATGTATGTATACAGATTGGGTTATTTGTGTTTGTTAATTTTTTTTGCAGCCCTGTGGCTGAATTGTGAATTTACATCAAGTTGACCTTCATGTAAGAGCAGTGCAGACACATAAGGGCAATACAAATAACTGAGTCTACTGTAGTGGAAAAGATGAAGTTAGCTTCATGATCATGGGGTGATGGCAAAGTTGTAACAAGTCAGCATTAAAGCATTCATACTGTGCTTTAGGTGTTGGGAAAATATGTCCAGTGCAGCCTGCATCTTGTGCTGTCATGATTTAGAATTACTCATCCTCGTGCACATGGTGTGTAAAACCATGGAGGTAGTTTTACCTCCATGGTAAAACTAGCTTCTCTAGGCTTTGCTTTATGATTAGTAAAATGATTTATGATTAATGGATATGATTTCAGATCATTGGGAATCTAACATTTGGTTTCCTCCATTCTCATTAATTGGCAGTGATTGTGGTATACTTGGTCTAATCCATATGACATGATATATTTAGATATCTGGAGTTTTCTTTTTCACAACCAGTTAAATGACTCTCACCTGCTTACTTTACAATGCCTATCTGACATCTTCCTCAGAGCTTGTGACTGGAATACTGCTTCTTGCTGCTTTATGTAGTCGATGGCACTTTTGCAGTGAGAACAGTCGGAAGCTCTGAGGAAGATGTCTGATAGGCACAGAAACATAATCATGTGAGATATTTTACTGGATGTGAAAAAGAAAAGCTCCAATATCCTATGGTCTAACAACCTGATCAAATTATTTTTGGATATGATAATATTATGACAGGAATTTGCATCAGGGACAATATCTCAGGAGTTTCTCTGGACCAGGAAGGGATATGATTTAAAAAATGTGATGTACACGTGATACCGGTATACTGTAATAATAAAAGACAATCATTGTTTACTGTCAAGTAATTACTTGGTTAACAGAGATTTCATTTGTGCACAACCTTTCCAAGGTACATCTGTCATTTTCCACTGTCTTTGCCTACAAACATTTCTGTATTACCACACACCAGTTGCCTTTGTCATAGTACCTGTCTACAACTGAAACACCAGGCACACTGTTACAGAGTTCCTCCAACTCTCCATCCTTAAAAACATGGTAAAACCTGTGGTAGACTGGCTCATCTTGGCTCTGCTGGCAATCTGACGCACAAGCACCAGAACAACTTTTGACATTTTCCTCCTCTGAATCCTGCTTCTTGTGATTCCCCACTTCCAATGGTTTGTCAGAATTTTGCTCACTGTTCCTGTCCAAGTTCGTCTCTTCTGTGCAATCTCTTGTGTCTCTCTCTGGATTCTTTTCTCTGCCTGAGTTACTCGGCACTTGAAGGCCTGGCTGAGAGCCCCTCTGTTGTTTCTTTGCACCATCCCTGAAGTGCCAAGGAACCAGCATGTCTTGGGTCTTGAAGGAGGTTCTGTTGACATGAATGGGAAGACTTGCACCTTGTTGTTCTTGGGTGGGTCTCGTGCTGCTCTTGTCTCCTACATCACCATTCTGGTGCTCTAAAATGAGAGAGTGATTAAAAGTTGGTTAGTAAAGTCCCTGTCTCCTGAACACTGCAGAACTCACCCTAACCATGGTTGGAAGCAAGTCAAGAGCAAGGTTGGGTGGTGTTCAGCAAGGTTGGGAGTAGGTCAGCAGCAGACAGTGGGGGTTGGGGTAGGGGGTGTTGGTAGTGTGCCAGTTAAATTTGACTCAAATTTGATTTGACTCATATTACAAATCTGGTCAGACTGCTCCCGAATTCCAGCCAACCTTGTCTGGTTGGTGGTCATGATCAGGGGAAGGTTCTGAATCATTGTATGACTGCGGGTTTATAGAAATGTGTTATGAGCTCATTGTACCAGGAAAATTCCCCTACAGCTTTTCTACATTTCTACATTACCTTTGGTGTCCTTTAAGTAGTTGGACTTGACATTCTTGTATTCTTGCTCAAAAGCCCAGACATAGATAAGGGCCCTCCCTCCTGGCTTGAGGAGTCTGGCCAGTTCCTTCACAGCTTTCAGTCTTCTTTCCTTCAGATACAGAAGGAGAAATTCAAAGTTGGCTGATTTACATGAAAAAAATTGAGTTATCGTACATTTGCATGACATTGTGTACACAGTTTTCATACTTAAAAGGTTTTTGCCTGCATATATATCAAGTCTTCATCTGGGTACACATTTACACTCGAGTTTAGTGATACTTGATTATATGTAGATGCAGAGAGCTGAGGAGTGTTCAACATAATGCTTAACACACACCTGTGTACAGAAGTGGTGGATGACAGCTATACTGATGGCAGCATCTACAGCACCAGTCCTGACCGGCACAGACATGGCGTCACACACAAACACCTCCAACTGTCTGTCCCTGCAGATGTTAGCCAGGCCACTGCTCCTGTCATTCCCCAGCTGAAGGCACACAGGTCACAGGTAAGACAGAGACCACATGACACCAAAATACAACAGTTCCAGAAAATAGTCAAACGTGATAGGTATTATTCAATGAACAAGGAGGTTTGGACCAAAACTAAACTTCTGATGTTAGGGAAAATCGAAGTTTCCAAATCATTCTTCCAGTTCTTGATTTTTGCCAATTAGATGTCGGCAATGATGTTACAGTGAGCAATCTGTACTGGTCGTTATGGTGTATCAGTGCCATACATTTGTACATAACACTGCTATTACCACTACTATCTAGTCGTAGAGGAAATGTTGAGCTGCAGCAATGAAAAGTCTTTCTCCATGTAGAAAGGAAACAACTCATCAAAACCAGAATCTTTTAAGTGCATCTCAGACTGCTGTACTTACAGAGTACACATCCTTGTTGGCTCCCAGGTACTTTCCATTACCACAACCTGTGATGTAAATAATAGAAAGAACAACAATCAAACAACAAGGATACACAGGTGTAAAATTTTCTTATTAAGTACAGTAAAAACTGCCCAAGAAGACCACTCATGAGACCAATAAAATCTGGTCTGTGTGTTCAGGTGGTCACCACAGACATGATTCTTCATGCTTGTGTCAATGGGAAAATTCATCTAAGGGACCATCAAAAAGTGGTCAGAGTGATCAGGTGGTCCTTATGCAGAGGTGGTTACTGGTATAGGTTTGACTCCACACAAAAAACACAGCTTCGAAAACAGTGTATCATTCCATTGGTTGTTGAGAACAAATACCTTTGACATATTTTCTTACCTACATCCACCACTAGAGCTCCCACAGGCTCTGTCTTTAAGAAGTCAACCACCCGTGGCCAAGGGGAGTGTCGGGTAGAACTGAAATGAGAAGCGATGTCCTCATATACCTGTAATAAAAGACGGAAACAACATGAAAATTTGATAATATGTAGTGTATTTAATTTTTGTTCAGTAGTCTTTATTGTGGGGAAGGGACAAATATGTCATCCGACTTACTGAATGAAAAACTGGCTTCTGAAAATGTGTGAAATAACAATTCAGGCGGTTTTGAATTGAGATAAAAAATTGACATCCCTTGCCAGCGGTTCAGTCCCTAAAAAAGGTGAGGGTCGGCAGGTTTTTACTAAGGTTGGTCGGTTTATCAGACACATAACATTTCTCCTTTTTTTTTAGACGAATATCTTAAACAATACACATAACAGAAAGTTAGCACTCTATCTCTTTATCAAACTGAAAGATCTCATCTTGGAGTTCCCTTGTCACATGACTTGATGTTGATCATCATGTGACAAGAGACAGTCATACAGGCTTTAGGTAGTGACGCCCCCTGTTCCTGTTCAAGGTACTGCATTGTCTGTGGATCTGGATTGCCTCCCAAACACCCCTTGCAAACCAATCAGAATCTTGATCCAGCACTTCATTTTTTCCAAGGCCTCAGTACCTGGTGCACATGCTGCTGCTCCAGCTGACCTGCCTCCCCCTCAGTCCTGGGTAGAGATGGACCTGTCTGCTGTAGCTGGGAGTCACACTGGCATGGGTACTCTGGGGGGAAAGGAACAGGACAACAAAACATAATCTCAAACCAGATCTTTTGGTGGCTGCAAAGACAGTATCAAAGGCAGTATCCATTGGCCAGTCAGTTACCATTTGGGTAGGCATAAAAAAAAAGACACTGATACAGAAAAGAAAGCTTGATAATTTCCTGGCAAAAATAACCCAAACCCCTTCTTAAAAATTGTGAAGGAAAGAGTAAACTAGCACTAGAATGAATTGAGACTTACCCAAATTTTTGGCTGACTCCTTCAACCTCGTTCACGGATTTGACCCATCTTGTCCATTCCGTGAACAAGGTTGAAAGAGTTTCCCAAAAATTTGGGTAAGTCCTAATTCATTCTAGTGTTAGTAAAGTTTAGCCTTTTCTTTATAATGACTTGTACCAACAAACTTTCATGTTTTTCTTGGAGAATTAACAACACAAGGCTGTCATTAATCATAAGTTAGAATAACATTCGACCATTGTTGTAGAACATAAAATACAGATGGGAGGATGATAGAATGTCATAACTCACTGCAGTCACAAGGCGTGTGCCTGATCTTCCTGAAGGTGAAAGATGTGCGGACCTCCCTCCTGGCTAGTGTAATGGACTCTTCCTGCCCCTTCACAGGAACGGGGTCCAACTTCCTGGGAATGATCCTGGGAGTGAGAAAAAGTCCAACATTTTACCGAAATTTGTTTAGTACAAATGTAGTCAAAAGTTAGCTTGATTCATATATTAATGACACTTACCGGTATGAGTGATTGTCATCTTCCACCAGTTTTCACAATTCCTCAAATGTTCTGCTAGTGGTAGGTCATTTTAAATTTCTAGTGACTAGCCCTCTTCTTCCACCACCTTTTACCTCCCTAAATTTATTCAGATAGTCAGGAAGTCAGGTACATGTAACTGTGTGTGGTTTGAGTTTGGGATATAATATTATGTATGACATTGTATGGTTGTTTAAATGTATTTATGTATAGTTGTCTTTTTGTTGTCTTGTTACATGACCATTTTACACCTAGGTGGAGTAGGGAAAGTTGGGTAAAGTGCCTTTCCCAAGGTCACAACGTCTAGCCAGGTGTGCAAGGAATCAAACCCATGAGCTCTGGATCTCGGGTCTGCTGGCTTAGCCACTTGGCTGTTCAATGCGCCACAAAACTGTGTTACTGTATCTAACAACAGAAGGCAAATACACCCACTAACCCATGTGTCCACAGGTACCTAGCCTCTCCAGACATGACCAGCAGACTGCGGGCAGGTAAAACAACAGGAACTCTTTTTCCACTGGGGTGCTTGAAGTCCATAACTGTCTGTAGAAGAAAAAGTTACAAACCTTACAGAGTCCTTCATTTTGAAAAATGGCATTTTTAAGGCAGAGAACTGATCAAATGCAAAATGTGACATGTGTCAAGAAAGAAGAACAATAGAGAGAAAACAGGCTTTACTGGCAACATGTAGCATGGTACAGACAGGAACATGTCCATAGCTAGTATAAGTCTTGTCCACATACATGTATGAAAGCCAGACACTCCACATTCTGTAGCCCAATAGCCTGGGTGCCAGACTGTTACCAGGCACAGTATACACTAATACAGGCATCCTTGTGTCCCAGGGCCAACATGTCCCCAAGGACATTTTGGGTCTGACTGAGGACTGGCCTGTGTATTGGCCCTGAGAACAGTCTGGCATCCAGGCTAAACAAATTCTGTAAGCTAATGTGACCCCAAAGTCTGTTCAGAACAGTTGTACGCAGACAAGAAGATGGTGTACATCTTATTGTTTCTCCACAGAGTCTTATACAAATACATGTAGTGGTTCTTCTCACCTGTCCACCCAAACTTAGGGAAGAAATCTCATCCTCAAATGCTGAGTGGGTATCAACATGGGGAGGGATTCCTAAGAGGAAGAAAAAAAATACATTTCAGTAAAAGTGAACAATCATGACAAAAAGATTCTGTTATTATTGTCATAAAATGTAAGAAATTTGAAGACCAGATGCAAATTATTTAAAACATTCAATTTGTAAGAAAACATCTTCATGCTTTTCTTTTTTTTAAATTAACATGGACTCTGGGAAGAGCAATGATTGAGCAAATACTGATTATAAAATCTGGTCAAACCAAGTATACAAAGTTTAACATGCAGTCTTTATCTTGCATCTACATGTAACTGTTAGTCTATACTTGAAAATTAACTGTTCAATGACATGTTTGTGAAGGTGATCTACTCTTCCAAAACAAGTACAGATGGGGTGATGAGCAGATCAAACTAAAAAGATAGTTCCTATGACTACCACTGTGCAAAACTCCCACTGAGAGTCTAGTTGTTGAGCTCTAGGTGAGGGTCTGCATGCTCTTTTCCGTAAGGCGTAGGCGGGCCTTTTTAATTTCCCGTAATTCGTAGGGAAGTTATTTTATTTACCGTAATTCGTAGTGAGGAGGCGAAAATTTCCCGTAAAGCGTAGCCAGCGCATTTCACGTAAAGCGTAATCGAGCCTAAAAATTCCCCGTAAATCGTAGTCTGGACTCCCATTTTTCGTAAGCCGTAGCGGACGAACCAGCAACCAGCGGATGACCTGTTGGGTCAACGTCGTACCCAGGATTTCTATTGTCTAACCTGGACACGAGAGCACCCATGACATCAGTGGAGTTCTGTGCTATTATCGGTCAGTATTGGCCGGGTGGCGGGAGCACATCTGGAGTCAATTTTAGTCGCATCTTCATCTCTGCTTTATCTTGTCTGCCCCTTTCTTGCCTGTCCCATCTGGGTCCATGTGTGCGGTACAATCCCACCATGGCTCACGCGATGCTCGTGATTGCGCATACGGTGGTCCGGCAGGTTGTCTATCAAGAGGCGGCATTTTTTATCTGGTTCTTTTGTTTCACGAACTAAAATTCTTCGCGAACTTGTTCACCCCGTTTCGAGAAATTTACGAACATATTTATGAACATTAATATTTATGAAATTTACGAATTTTTTACGAATTTATGAATTTTACGAATTTTTGAATATTTATGAAATTTACGAACATTTTATTTTCTCAGTCGTAAAATGTACCGATGGGCATATGAATGTACCAAAACAAAATCAGTATTAGTTCGTTGGTTAGTTGCTCAGAAATCGAGCTCTAAAATACACCAGAGAGCCTCTCAATTTTAAAAATTTCCTGGGGGAAACCCCCCTCTCGTACTCTCCCCCCGCGCTGACGCGCCGCGCTGACGATGCAGGTTGCAATTGGTGAAGTGAATGTTCTAAAGTGGGTTCCGTTATGTACCAAATTATGAATGCTATGTGAAGTACCTTGCATGCGCGCTTCATTGCAAGGTGTACGTCACAGCTATTGTTTGCGACATTGTCGGTGAATTTGATCAGTCAACATTGCAACACCAACTTGAATTTAGCGTTATTCGTAGCGAAGCGCCAGAATTTAACGTAAAGCGTTGCCGGCCTCCCAGAATTTAACGTAAAGCGTTGCGAGCCTCCATAAATTTAGCGTAAAGCGTAATGAGGACCCCCCATGCAGACCCTCCTAGGTGGGAGTACTACAGGCCCAAGGAGAGCCTGCCAAAACTGTACAACCTTCGAATTCAACAAGTCCTTATCTTAGCTCGTATCTAAGTCTAACTTAGGTTAAAAATTAACTGCTCATGTTTGTGTTTTACCCTTCCAAAGTAAATGCAGCCGGGGTGACTTCTCTCATTTTGACGCATATTTGTAGGCTCCCATTTGACACCTTTTTTCTTTCTGGAGTCACCTTGACCAACCCTGATTGGTAGATCTCTCACCCTGAGCAGGGTTAAAGGTAAACAGTTGGCATTCTACCATCGCTCAAGGTCACTGATATGTTGTGTGTGGAATGAAGAACGAACTCAAAGTTATACTTAGTAGATAGAGCCCGGTTTGAGGTTTCAAGGGGATTTCATGTCCTCCAGATGCTTGAGTGACCTATAAAATACACAATAACTGTGTGCCAAGAACAAAATAAGTGTCTTGCGCTGGACAGATTTTTCCATCAACCGTCAAGTATTGTCTTGACTGTGTGACAAGTTAAAACTGTTTATACACTCTGCGAGGTGGTGATAGATGTGTTCATCCATTTCAGGTCAGGACGAGTTCATGGGTACTAAAATGGAGGCTGCACAAAGGAGTGGTGTGTTCCTGTCCAGAGGCAGACTTGTGGTTGTGGCTGTTGCAGTGGTTCTATTGGTGGTTGGTACAGGGCTTACAGTGGGTCTGACTGTCAAGCACACAGCTTCAACTCAGGTGAGGAAAGATGTTCTTTGGATGCACCTGTATTTCAATTTCTTTTACATGTATTTGCCTTTCTTTTATTCCAAATGGAATTTTATTCCAATTGGAAATGGGCACCAACCTATGCTCTGCCTGGAGTGGAAGCGGGTCAATCAAGCCGCAGGCATCAGAGTGGGTGGGGGGGCAAAATTTATGTGCCACATAGATACATACCCTGTCCAGGCTGGTATTGGTTGACTGTAATCTGATCAGGCCTGTGTTTGATGTGTCCCTCTGACATCATCTTGTCAATCACCGGACTGCACCAATCAGGAAGGCCACCCGGGAGGGGCTTGTCCTTGTCCACATTGTTGTTATCATATCTAAACTCATAGCCGAAATGTTTCACTCTTCTGTGCTTCAAAGCTTGTTCAGCTGGAAACAAAAACACATCATGAGCACAAGAGGATTGTGTAAAAGTTGAACCTCAGACATAAATAAAACACTGTAAAGGTAACATTTGCAAATACATAATGTTTACTGTCACAAGGTCTAGCCTAACAAACTATTGCTATTGTTTATTCTTTCTCAAATACATTCATATAATGGTGGCTAGCCCTTCCAACACTGTCTTTCCACTTGCTACATAATGTAACCCAACACCACAGAATGTCTGCTATAGCACCAGTTACCATGGAATACAAAATGTTCTGCTTAAGTCCTATGCATGATACATTATGGGTTACACGCTGGCATATATATAATATAGTTCTGCTGATGTGCCGCTAACACTCACCATCCGTCTGTTGTTGATTGTCTGTGCTCCAGCCCAGCCCCTCCATCAGTCTGGCTGCACAGGCAGGACTGACGAAGTCTTCCACTAACCGCAGACCTGGGGGCAGGTCTAACCCTGCAACTCTCTGGGAGGGGACTGAGCAAATAGAGAACAGAGTGATAAACAATACAGCGCTAACAGATTAAGTCAGTGTTTTACAAATGATTGTTGGCTATGAAGAATATATTATTGGGGAAATGGAATCGAAGAGTAGTGTTCACACTAGACTGAAATTTTCCGTCATCTCAATTTTGTTTCACATAACATCATGTTGAGCACCCCTAGCCTGGGAGGATCCAGGGGATTTTGAAATCTGAAACAATATTTTCTGCATTTTGAGGGGCATATTTTGCTGGTAGACAAGCCTAGCTGAATGATATCTTCTTTCCATATCTCAACAGACTTAATTTTTGTCTGTCAAATATCACAGATTAGGCAAAAGTTTTGTCCGCTCTGAGCAGTAATATTCCATCAAACGACAGAAAGATGCATGCTGGCTAGAACACTGAAAGAGAGTGAGTGAGAAAAGGAAGACTCCTGCCCCATTTTCAGGATGATACGAACATAGCAAAATGTGTGCAAATCTAAATTCAACTCTGCTCACCCTTCTCAATGTGGTTCAAATAAAACGTGACATTAGGCTGTTGCAGCTCTTCTGGACTTTTCAACATCCTCCCATTGAAGGCTGCGTACGCTGCAGCAGCTGACTGCTGGTCGGCATAGGAGACAAAAGCGTACGGTTTCCCCGTAACCATGACGATGTCCTGTAGGTCCCCGAGGGTCTGGAATAGTCTCCACAACTCCTCTCGATGTACCCCATTACTCAGTCCTGCGTTGGCCACAACCAGGTGCTAGGGCAACACAAAAACAATATATGGTATTGTTTACTAATATATTTAGCTGAGCATCTGTGGATATTTTGTTGGTTTGTTTGTCTGTTTGTCAGATGCACCTGAAGGCCGCTGAAACCCTGGCCTGGGTGCCAGACCCCACCGTTTTTTTTACTGGTAAACAATTATTTCGACTGAGTTTCCCCAACACAACTCTCAAAGCAGAGGCTAAGAATTCAGCTTATTTTTGACGCGTTTTTACAGAGGCGTTTTTATTGGGGTGGCAAATGGTAATAACTTAGCCTGGACAATGGATACTGCCTGGCCAATTTCATACTGTCTTAGTTACTCTTAGCAGCCACCAAAAGTTCTGCTTGGAGATTACTACTAATAAATATCCCAACATCACGCCCCGCTCCCGGATTTGGCACCCTGCTATCAAATCATTAATTAGACCCCGGGTGTTAAATAAACTCTGGGATCGGGGCGTGTGGCTTCCCCAGGCCGAAGGGAGTATCGTGTCGCGCTAGGGTCTGGCATTCAAGCAACAGAGAACCTGGTTCAAAACCGCCCTGGGTGGAGAAAGCTTGACCAGTGCACGGGAGGATCCTAACACCAAGTATTTCAGGAATCTAAGTCTATTATACATTATTAAAGATAATTTATTTTAGACCATGACAAGTCATGAGGCCATAATTTTTCCCACCGGCCGTCCCGAGATTCGGGAGACCGTGTGTTCGGCTGGGGAGTTATCAAACCTACCTTGGTTGCTTCACTGCTCGTACTGATGCCTTCGTGCCGTAATAAAGTCTGTCGCGCCTTGTTCTGTTTTTTGTAAGCCTTCTTCTCCGACTTCGTGAGTTTTGTTTTCACGGCGCAACTTTCCTGATCCATGGGCGCCGCCATCTTGTTTTCGACCTCTGAACTTTGACCACTCAAGACATCCAAGGGTGTGTGATACACCCGGAACTGACTTGAGACGCTGTTTACACATTAACCTGCTTCTTTTTAAGTGAATTCACCAACAGTAAGGGTGGTACTCATTCAGACACATGCACAGTTCACGACTGGCCGCCATTGGAAGACACCTTACACACACAGAGGTAAAGTTAGGGTCTTATAACTTTGTTGTTCTGGACAGGTGGTTAACTTAGTTCACAGCTATGTAAGCCAACATCTGAAAGAATGTGACAATAATTGAACAGTAAGAACACTAACATACTAACTGTTTGAACTTTCAATGTTGAGTTTCCGAAGAAAAGCTTTATAATTATAGTGTCCCCAACATGTTTATTAAGTTAAAACAATAATAAACATTAAAATTTACACGTTATCATCAGCTTGCATTGAACTGTGAACTGAGGATGAGTTGATCATCAACTGACATTGTTTATGCAAATGAGGATACATTTGCATAATCAGTGCAAAAACCTGTATAATACTTAGTATGTTATTATGAAGGTTAACATATCATTTGACAAAGTTATGAGGTTGTCAAACTCTAGTCTAGAAATGCATCTTGAAAATAATTTATGACAATGCATTTGGAAACATAATTTAGTCTGGACAGCTTGCCCAAACCAAGGACTGTATATAATGTCCTTGCCCAAACTGATGATGATGTAACGTTAAGCCCTTAGGGCTCAGGTGAACAGACCATTTTGTCTCCTGTGACATTAAGAGTGAGCCTGTCTGTCCAGTTTGTCTCACTCTCTACTAGTAGGTGTTTCAACACGAGATGGCATATGTAATAAAAAAACTGGTTGGAAAGATAGCAGAAAGGCCTGTGCCAACAACCTGGCGCTAAAGCCATAGACAATGGTCACCAGGCTACTTAACCCCTCACAACCAGCCCATTGACCCCTATTAAATACATCCTGTGGGGCAAAATACTTCAGCTTGTGAAGCATTCTTAAAACATCGGCACGAGCAAAGGTCCAACAAAGCATTGTTAGATCAGGGCATTGGAAGGTCCGCTGTGACCCCCAATGATGTGAACACACTGCTGACTTGTGTTGTGAGATGACTGAGGATGCTATAGACTATAGCACGAGGAGTGAGTCTCGAAGACGACTGTTTCGCATCAACCTTTTCTTTAAACTGGTGGGAAAAAAGAGGCCGAGACATAGGAAGGTGGGCCATGTATATGATTGTGGAAAATGTAAACACTCATTCGACAACTATTTGTGTGTTGTTTTTCTTTTAATGATTTTTGCAGTTTGTATGCAATTTGGATACAATGTAATGTTGCAGTATTAACTTTTTTTGTAGGGAGGTGAAGTTTTATAAACTGAAAAAAAGTCCCTTGTTTCTTGAGGAGGCAACAGAATTTTACTGGGCAATCATAGTTACCATCATAAACAGAAAAACATACAGAGGCTCCCATGTCAGAGTTCATTTCAACTTTCTATAGTATTCCTTGGTCCGTGTTTATGCATTGCAAAGGTTGAGGGGCACAGGAATTAGGGAAACCAAAACTTAAGTCCACGAAGCTCTTATGTATTGTTTGCAGCACTTAACTACTGGACTTCTAGTAGCATCATAAGAATTGTAACATGTGCATTGATCACACAATACAACCTGGCAAACCACCATGGCAGGATCAGGCCCAGGGCGGTGCCCTTTTATTGATTTTTAGTAATCGTACCACTACCATTCTTTTGGGTCAGTAGGTTAGTGCCTCTTCTGATGTCAGTGATTGATCAGCATTTTTCAACCTCAGCTTTCTTTCTGACCAGTTATCTGGGGCATGACTTGGAGTAACCTGTGTAGCTAGCTATAGTCTCCACCAGACTAACACCACAGGTTTAGAACGAGTAAAAATTTGGCCAAACAGGGAGCATAATCGGCCAGGGGAGTTTCGTCACCATAGAGTTCATTTGTCTGTGCAGTTAGGAGAAATTAACACTTTCACAGTTAGACTCTCCTGGCCCATTATTTCCCTTTTTTGCTGAATTTTATGACCAGTAAGAAGGCCTGGTAGAGGCTATGTTATGCCCTTTGATATTAATGAAAGGGAAGAGACTGGTGCACAATAAAATAGCAAGCATACCAGGTTGGTGTATAACAATTGTTTAACAACCTGAACAGTAATTTTAACAGCAAAAAAGCAAAAGAATATTTTTCAAGGAATTGGAAAAAAATAAAATAATTATGTAATCATTTTTTTAAACAAGGACTTAACATTGAATGAACACTTCAGAGTGTACTTCAGTCTACCAATATCATCTGAAGTGGTAATCCTCACTAATCCATTCATGCATACACAAAGGTGGATTATAGAAAAATTCTGGGAAATCTTTTAGTCTTGTCACATTTTAAATATAGTTTGAAATCTGGAACAATCCCTACACTGTGGGGTAACAAAAGATAGTCCTTTTGGAAGCTTTTAAGATCCATTTCCAAGCTTAAATTGTAGACTCTCAAGAACAGAACTCTCTCTGAATGAGGTGAAGTTGGAGTTGGTAACCAGAGTCAAGGGCCCTTCTTGGTCTTTATTTGGATGAAGCAAATCCTGTTTCTCCTCCCAATTGAAATTTAGTCATCATAGTAGGCAGTTCAGTGCCTAAACCTGAAGCTATTCTGCTGGAGACACTGACTGCAGTGAGGTTAGTTTGACAGCAGGACTTGGATTCTTGACAGTGATGTTTCCAAGCTGTCTCATCGCATAACAGATGTAGAATTTAATGAGGTAAATTCAATGTAAACAAAGAGCTGTGTGTATCTAAACAAATGCAGGCAGGTTTGGTACAGGTGCCAATGCAACCTTCTCAACCTAGTAGCTTTTTTTTCTGAAAGGGACTGTTTGTAATTTAGTTATTATAATAAGATATAATTTGGTTATTTGTTTGCTTAATAGTATTTGATAAGTCCAAGCCCCCTTGTAATGTCAACTGACCACACCAACCCCATTAATTTTCTGATAGAGACTTTATTTTGTTTACCTTCTGTCATGTCTGTTTATTCTTCTTCTCCAAACAAGTAAGGTCAGTGACCTGGATCAGGTGTCTGTCACCATGGTAACTGTTGCAATATCAGAGACCCTGTGGTGTTGGATTGTGTCATGTAGCAAGTTTAAGGGGCTGGTCACCACAATTACAATGTGGTGTAGACCATGCAAAGGTAAACATACTGTTGCTTGGCAAATGTTACCTTTCTAGACTTTGTCATTAAAATTTATCTGTTTGTTTCAGTCGCCAGCTATAAGCCCGAGCCCCCTCGCCATGTCAGCTAATCGCACCAGCCCCATCACCACCCACATACTGGACACATCACTGGGCAGACCTGCAGCTGACGTACCCATCAAACTGTACCGTAGGGGGGAGAGACTCGGCCAGGAGTGGACCCAGGTGTCCTCAGGGTGAGACAATATCACACCACTAGCCAGGCATCCATCCTAGTCTAGGTCTGCTCTAAGTCTTCCCAGAATGCTCTACTTCTGAGCACTTTCCCTCCCAGAAGGAAAACATACTGTTTGTTTTCATTCACAGAAGGAAAACACAGTTTTCACTGTTTCTTGTTCTCCAAAATAAAAGGTCAGTGGCCTGGACCAAAAGTCTGTCACCATGGTAATTGGTGCCGTATCAGACATCTTATGTAGCAAGTTGGAGGGGATGGTCACCATGTAGAAGCCTTCAGCAAAAAAGTACATTATAAGCACAACCCCCCCCCCGAAAAAAGTCATAGAGCAGGCAGTGCTAAGTTTCTTTTTGAATACAATTGCACCCCATCAGCAGATGTTATAACCCATCTCATTTGATGATTCTTTTTCTTTGAAATAGACAAACCAACTCAGACGGACGCTGCAATGGTCTGCTGAACAGTCTGGAGGCAGGGGTCTACAAGATCACTTTTGAAACAGGAACATACTTCAACAAGAATGGCATCAGGCAGTACTTCTATCCCTATGTGGACGTAAGTGAAACACAGCATCTGTGCACATTTTTGTGTCATGTCAGTATCTCTGCATATTGCTGTAAGTGTAATGAAGATGTTGAAGCTTGAATGCTACTGGTTTGATACTGTAGTTGAAGAAGGTAGCTGGAACACTAACATAATACATTGTACATAATGTATGTCTTCAAACCATTTTGGAACACCAGTCGCAATCACTGTCCAAACATTGCTACTGTTGCACACCTTGGCTATGCTACATTAGGCCATCTAAAATACAGGTTATACACCTCGCTATTCAGTTACTCCTATGTTGTGACAACCCTAAACCTTTGTTTGCAAATCTTTTGGTGGCAGCCATACAGTATCGAATTGGCAAGAGAATGTTATTGGTAGGGCAGTATCCAACACATTTGACTGGTAAAAAAAATGATAACGATTCTACATGTAGCTATAGTACAAAAATGCAAGGCCGATAAGAATGCCTGAAAGCAGGTGAACAAAAAGCAAAAACCTAAATCTCTGCTTGGAGAGTAATTTTGTATTGTAGGGGTTAATTAAAAACATGAGGCCACTTCCCAATTTGCCCCCCTCCCCCCAGTCAATTTTTGAAACATAAAATATTCTTTCTTTTCTGTTCCTTTTCAGATTGTGTTTGAGATCCATGACCCCAGCCAACACTACCACGTGCCTCTACT